TCGAGGCTTTCTCTCGGTGTAAAGGCAAGTAATTAGAAGAATTCAAGCCATTTGTTGCACCATCAATCGTCTCTCCAAAATCTTGGTGTCCATCGCACATACTAGACTTCAAAAGCTTCTGAAGCACGTACGATTTCGTGTACTCCGGGACCAGCGTCGCGACGACCGCGATTGGAGTCTGGCCAAAGCAAACTATTTTCATTCGAACCATAAATTCAAAATTTTTCTATTTCACCCTTTTGTTATCCGTCCAGTTTTTATACAATCGATATACGCGTCGCAATTATGCGACTGAAGTTGTAATTTGAAATTGAAATAGGCTCATTATGCGGCGATATTTTAAAGAAATACGATTAATTCATTATATTTATAATAATGAATCATTCTTGGGCATAAATAACTATGTTTTTAGTCAAATCTATCGAATTTATCGCATTTCAGCTATATGCTTTTTTTCAGACACATAGTATTTGAGATTCTCTATGGAGGGCTCCATCATCATACAAAAGTTTCGCGATTCACTTAACCACATCAGCATTTTCCAACTTGATTTATAAACGTGCTTTCCTCTATAGTGAATGTTTCAGGCGGAATTCCTAATGCAGCATTTTCTTCAGTAATGAAAAGCTTCACAGTATTTGCCGTTACATTATTCAAACGATGAGAGGTATGTTTTTTATCCATACCATATCCACGTATTTAAATCCAACAGTACTTTTATAATTTTATAAAATTTAGTATAAACTCCTAAGTATATCTAGTTTCCATTCAATATTCCAATTATTTTGAAGGATACATGGGTGAATTACAAGAAACTATAACAGAAAATAAAAAATATAAAATTTCATCTAGGAATCCACCTTACTAAACTAACATAAGACGGAAAGTATGTGAAATGAAAAGATTTTCTGACGTTATAACTAATAAATTTTCTAAAAATAATATTAAAATACGAAGAAAATCATAAGGAGTATAAAGCATGAGCAACCAAATGAAACACAGATACCCAGAATTCCGAATAAAACGCTCTAGTAATCTCGCCTTTGAAAATTAAGACAAGAGAAGCGATAAAAAAACCGAAAGAGGGGAAGAGAGGGAGAGAGATGAGAATTGCGCTTAGAGAAAACAAATCGCGTAAGCCTCAAACTCTCAAGAGACCGTCGACGACGAGTTTCGCGTCCAATTACGTATTAATTAGACAGGCGAAAACAATCGACGCCGCGTCGAGTTTCGCGCTGACCATGAACTGTTCCTTCTAATTGATTCATGCGCTCGTCTCTCCCGGCTGCGTGTTTCTTTTGCGATCTAAATTCTGCAAGGCATATCGAACGGGACGGATTGCTTTTTCGGTTTGACGTTCATTATTAGTTTCTTTTTTATGGCGTAATGGAAGATTTAAGAGGTGTTTCAAAATTTGCAGGATGTTATGTACTATTGCAAGATGCTTTACCAGAAATATACTTTGGCTTTTCAAACTCTTACGAAAGACCAATTTAACATTATAATTTCTCCAATGAAGATTTTTCATTGTTTTTTTTATTTCGAGATATTTTATGGGAAACGCTTCGTCTCTTAAAAAGTTTGTGAAAGTTCATTTTGAAATTATGACTTCCAAGCCAATGTAATATTTCATTATTATATTTTGCCAACGTCAAAATAAATGTACCCAACAAAAATTCTTTATATAAATTTGATCTGTAAGATTCACTCGGATCATAATTTTATTAATGTTCTTCCTCACCTACTTCGCAAAGAAATTACATTTCTAACAATGTAAATCCTCGACACAAAAGAAAATAAAGAAGCACCTTTCCAAAATGTAAATGCTCTTCAAGAAAGAAAACTGACATTTGCATATTGAATGCGAAGATAGAGGGACGGTTAGAGGGAAGGTCGAGGTTATGAAAAATTCGCGTGCTATCGTTAGATCAATTGACGTTGAGGCCAAAGACTCAATTGACGGTAAACGTCGTCTAAGCCGTACATCGTTTTCGAGTGTCTGGATGAACTGAAATATGTGTATGGCATCATGTGTCTCGTCAAATTTTTAACAAATACAGCAAAGTTTATATGTATACGTCAAGTGTTTCAATTACAGCGAATCAATAGCAATAGTCGTCTTTTAGATGAAGTTTGCTTGGAATCCTTTTTCCACTTTACGATACTATAAATCGATGCCGCGATATTAGAAGAGTTTGTTTGTGTTCTATATAGAGAGGAGATTAATAAAGAGTGTTGCAATTTTTCGTGGAATTCCCGCTGGTAAGCTTTATTTTTTATCCCATACCTTTTTTTTTGCGTAACGTAATCTGGGTTGCTCGAAATGAGTAATTTATCACTTAAGTTGAGTGATCGATTACTCAACAAAAAATTCTTATGCTGAACTTGCTGAAAGTGAGAAGTGAACTGTTTACATTGAGTAATTGTCAGAATGTCTCGAATTTGTCAGATGAAAAATCGATTGGTTCTTATGAGCTGTTGCTTACTGAATAAAAGAAGATAAATCGATTTAAACAATATATTGACTACTCACTTAAAGCAACCTTTCAATTGAGTACATTTTTCGCGAGGATTTAATTTGAATGACTCGTATGGCTTAATTTAGGTAAAACTTGGTCTAGTGAAAAGAGCAGTATATAAAAGCTTCCGTGATAGTCATTCGTATGCTTAGTGCTCGTTATCACGACAGGCATAAAAAAGACATAAATTACGAAGAAACTTAGGCAAGCCTATCGCATGATAAGCTTATCAAATACGATGATCTCCCGAGAAAAGCTTCCTGCTTGTTATCAATCCAAGTCTCCAAATAACGATAGCACCGATGCTCGCGTAGATAAGTCAGTCTCGTGCGGTGCGTGCGCCAGTATAGCGATTGATTTTCGCCGCTTGCATGCACTGCAGCTCGTGAGATGGCTGAAAAATTCTGTTTGAACATTTTTCCACGATGAAAGGAATGAATTATGATTCTGCGAAGAGCAAGAGAAAAGCAATCTCAAGTTGGCGCGCATTTTTAAGTGCGCGGATGAAAATGAGATTCGAAACGTAAGACCTTGTCGGTCGGACTGGAATTCCGTTCGCTCGTCAGCTGCAAACGCGAGTTGGTCAAGAGAATGACACTCGCGTAAGCCACTTGGCTTTTCGGCTCTAACGTGTTCAATAACGAACGACACGGGCTGACAATTGACACTGTAGTAACCTTTGCCAGCCCAGAAAGTAGCGTCAATTGATTTGCCCGGTATACGCGGCAAATGGGCTCTCTCGTCTGCTCGTTTCTTCATTTCGGTCGTCGGGCTTCGCATCGGATTAAGCGCGTTCGCTCGCGCGTCTGTAATACTCGGCGCGCGCAATATAATGGTTGCAATAGGTGGAGCGACACAAGAAAACAACAGAGTATCGTCCTTGCGTGCTTTCGCCCAAGTGACAGAGGAATCAGCGAGCGGCAATTCGGCGTTGGAAAAGCACGCGCAGACTTGCCGATGTGCCGGCTAATCACGCCCTATATGAGCGAAAGCTCAGCGTCGCGTGAAACTTCTCGTCAACGCGAAGGATGCCGCACTTTGTCGAATTTCGGCCGAATGGGAGCGGCGTGGCAGTCGACGCGGCATCGACAGGCGCGCGCCTCGGCTTTCGTCCTCGACGACGGATGCAACGCTGCTTCGCCAAGATACGCGCCTGTAACAATGCGTCTCGTCTACCGCTGCCGAATAAACGAGAGCGCGGCACCGGCACCGCGGAACGGACGGCGTAACCTACTTGCCGAAAGCGTTTAGCGCCGACGAGACGACGCGCGTGAGAGACGCTCGTCCAATAAGCCTCGCATATTGATTTCCCATACACGCGCGCCTTTCAAAGCGCGCATTCTTTCGAGAACACTTGCTCGTCGCGCCGCCGCCTTGCCGCTGCCTTGCCGCTGCCTTTATCGCTCGGTCGCACACGCGCGCCTACGTTAGCGTTAGACAGTGCGAATTGGATGAGCATCTGGCTTCCGGCTGCGCGTACGCACTCGCGGCTCTCTCGGTTCGAAGCTTCCGGCACGGATGCTGCGTACCCACTGAAATTGACGTCGGCGAGGGCTACGCGTAGCCTGCGCTCGTTGCAATCGGCAGTACGCCAGAGCTCAACTTCGCGCTCGCCACTCGATCGTTGATCCAGCCGGCGGACAGCGACCGGGATTCCGATTATCATTTCAGTCGAACGCTCCGCTGATGTACCGTTCCGATTTGACGACTGCGCGAGCTCGCTGCAACTTCGGTCGTCTTTCACTCGTTATTTTCGGCATCTTGTTTTTTCGTTTTTTTTTTATTGCAGCCCCCTCCCCCCGCCACGAAAGTCGTCTATTTTCTTATCGCGTGCGGACCTCCGGGTTTCGGAAATTTCTGCATGGATTTGTGTTTGTACGAACGTAAATAACGTTTTGTCCCTTTTTTGTAGAAACGTTATGTGACATCCTTATCTTTTTCTCATGGGCGGTCGATTTTTTATCTTTCTTTTTTTCTTTAATTAGGTGAGTGAGTATTCGATATTGAAGTGGGAATGTTTTTATCGGATCGATGAATGAATAGTTTAGTATTGTTATTCCGGCCTAAAAGTCGTTCGAAGTTTCATAAAAGTAAAATAAAATATGCTCGCTAATAAAAACTGCAGACCGTAATAGTTCTGAACGCCTTTACGCGCGCTTTAGCCGCGTACATGCAAGCTCGTAAAAGGAAAACTTTACTTTCATGCGGCTTTCTTTTTACGGATGCGTGGAAGCTAGCTCTAATTTCGTTTTGTGACGTTGGCCTGCGGTATCGAAATCGAAAAATCGCAGGAGCACGTATCGCTGGGAGCGAAGCAAGGACGCGAAGCGACGACGTCGCGTGTACGAACAATCAATTAGCGTGGCTTGTAATAATCGTCAATTAGCACGACCGCCGCATCGCATTAATTGGCTAAAGGTTGCGGCGAACGGTGCCGCGAGCGTCCGGATAAGAATTCCGCGAGGCACGAGCAAACATCACCTTCTTCTTCCATGGCTGTCGTCCAGAGCAAACGATTCCCTTCTGATTCCTCTTCTCGGCTCACTGCTCGTGCACAAACACCCTCGTCTTGCACTGTTGCATATTAAACTGCGCCTATTGGCTGTTTCTCCTCGTGGCACTAAACGCAGATGTCTTTTCAGATGTCGGTTTCTTCGTTCTTTGGTTCGGGCTCTTAGGCGGGCGCGTTTTTCAGTCGCGCGCGGGCTTTCGAAAGCAAGGATCGTTCTAAGTTTAGACAGACGGTCAATTACTCGTTGCGGAGCGTCGCTGTCGCGAAGCAATGGAAATAATAGAATATTCGGGTGGCGTGTAAAGCTTTTGGCCTCGCGTCAAAAATTGTCAAATTCGCTTGCACTTTCTCCGCGGCGCGAGCTGCGCGCGAGCGAGGCGCGTGACCAAGTTCAACTAACCCTTCTGATAGGTCTTAAAATAAATGGTCTGTGGGCGCCGTCGCGCCTTTCCGCTCGCGCGACGGCAGCGGCAGCTATGCTAATTGAGCTTCCTTGCTGAAATGGAAAAGAACACGCGACGGCAATGGTTCTCGTCGAAGCACACGCGCCGTTTGCCGTTCGCTTTGTCTCGGAGTGATCGAGGAGAGAGAACAAAAGAGAAAAAACGAGCTCGTCCGACTAAAATCCAACGACGAGCCCACCGGAAAGAACGAGAAACCGACCGTCTCGGGTTACAGAAAGGAATCGTCACTGGACATGGCGATGGACCGCACGCCGCCGGCTCTCGGCTGCAACTGGTGGCCGACGCGCTTTGCACGTTGCTCGCGATCCAAGCGAGCCAAGCGAGCCAAGCGACGCTCTGTACTGCCGATGATGATGAGGAGGCAGCGCGCGCAGCGTGCCCCCAAAAATACCGACACAGCGACAGAGCGGCTTGTATATACCTTCTACGAGTTGCTTCTTTTCCTCTAGGTTTAGAATTAGATTCCTTCGTTCACAGCGAAATCATGTCGCAACAAAAGCAGTTTTATAAAAACGTTCAACTGACTTAAGAAACTATTTCTTCATTTCGTCGTAAAATTTACGGAAAAAGGAAACGGTCGCATCGTTTTATCATTATTCAACACGTTATAGTGAATAGTTATAAGATTTCATTTCGAATTCAATAGCCAATAAAATTATTAGTCTATCATAAAAAGTTTTGCCAATTTCAAGTGTATTGTCAAAAGTTAATTATTGGAATAAAAAACAATTCTAGACATTGACACGCGTTCTCTGCCTCAGTAAGTCTTACTTTTATATCATTAAACTTCTTTCGTTATGCGAAAAATTCTCTTACATATCAAGAAAAATCCGGTTAATTCAAGAGAATTCGTTTTCGTGAAAGAATTATAAATATGATTTCTAATTGGAGCTTTTCATTTTTAAGAATCAACGTCAAAATATACGAACAAAGATGAATTATACAAGCTTGATATTACGTAAATAACGTTCTGAATAATTAATAATGACGCTTGAAAAAAAATGTATTTACAGGTCATCGGCGAAAGTACCGTGACGCAATTGGAAAAAGGAAGAGGGATATTGAGCTGCCTTGATGCGCCAGCACAATACGCGGCGTCATTGATATGCACAGCTAGAATGCTTAAGCAGATTATGAATTCGCTAGCACGCGTTAAAAAGACAATTTTATTCTTTTTTCGAATCGATGGAACAAATTCACATTGGAATATTGAAATTGAAGCCCAAAAACTTCTTTCGTCATTATATTGTACGTACACATACATTAATGTTGATAGTATATTACGAATGATATGTTAGAGCTTGAAACACCATTAAGTGTCCTTCTCCCGTTCACTTGGCAGCTTTTGTTCATTTAACAAATTTCTCTTATTTTTTTTTAGTATTTTCATGCTTTGTGTACCTTTTTCTTTTGTTAATGCATCAATTTTATTGCGCACTTTAATACCCAAAAATGAACTTTTTTTCGGCTAAAACTAACAATTGGAACTTATGCAAAAAAAGAAATATATGTAACCAGAAATCAAGTCATTTCTTTCTCTATATTCTATAAGGGAGAGAGAGAGAGAGAGAGAGAGAGAAAGAGTGAGAGAAAACAATGAAAACTGCTAATCATGCGGAATTTTTCTTTTTTTTCTGGTCCTTCAATGTAATTGTAATGCGCGCTAATGGCTTCGCTACTTAACGGCTGTTCGTGTGCACGTTCTTTCTCTCGTGTTAGAGTTAATTAACTAATTAATTTGCCGCCTTCGCACTTTTCGTGACAGTCGTCGGGGCTTATTGTTATGCTCGCTCGGACAGAAACTGAAGTGGAGCACCTGGAAAATGACGACCGATGTTTGTTTCTTCTCCGGCTGTTTTAGATTGACGGATTTAGGTTTTACGTAGGGATGTTACTACTGTAACGATTAATAAACATCATCATTGTTGTTTGAGAGTATTCTGTGCTAATTTGATATATGTTTGATTGAATTATAAATTTATCGATTTTCACTGGACGGGTGATATGGCCACGCTTAATTAAATATACGCAATAATAGTCTATTAAGTTTTGTTTCGAAAATAAAATGCAAAAATTATCGATCAATTTTCTTTTACTTTGAATATTTTAAAATGAATTATCTTGTTTAATTAATACGAAATAACGTTATTTTATTAACTTGTTACAAATAGATACAACGCTTATGACGAATCGAAAGTACGCAAAATACTTCTGTAGTGATGAGGTATAATCATAGATGATGAAGTCAGGGCGAAGGAGATGAACATGATTTCTTTCTTGAACTAAATAGCCAACATTAATCCACGTTGCTTCAATTTTATTACAAAAATTCCATCTCGCGTTCGATACCAACGAACTTTAATTGTTCGGTCGGTCCATAGCTGCAACAGAGAAATTTGTTTAATTAGAATTCATTTTAATCAAGATCTCTGGCAATTTTATGTGTTATCGTACCGATAATCGAAAAATAGTTCCTCTCCCGGCTGAATAGGTCGCTTAGCGAAAATCCCAATTCTGTGATCGCCATTAACCATCATAACTTTGGCATAACAATTTGGATTTATCGAGTGATTAGCGAATCTAATCTTGTTTCCTTTTCTAGTAGCGTCAACAACAAAGTCTAAAATGAAAACGGTTAAAATTACAGGCTTTTCAAGTTCTACGAGGTGTGAAATTTGCATACATACCATTATTAAGATTGAATAGAAAACTGCACATGTATTTGTCATATACTTTTCCTCTCCTATCAGCCTCGTCTTGGCTAATGATCTCTCCGCAATACTCGGAAATAAATTCGTTCTTAACAGCTGATTCTTTCAAGAAAATACCCCAACCAGCAACGTCCGACGGTGCCATGAGCAAATGTTTATCTGTAAATAAATATTTTCTGTTATAAAGCTAGGTCTGTTGACTACTTATATTAAAAATACTGAATAACTCACGTAACCCACGCTGAACGCTAACATTTTTACAGGATATCTTTTGTATGTGGAACTGATCAGCCCCACAAGTCTGGCACAGATCAGGATCGCATTCGCGTACAGCAAGATAACAAGGACATTGTTTTGTGTTGCATTGTGCTTTGCATCGACAACCGGGGAATCTATTTTGACATTCAGTACTACATTGGCAAAACTTCTCGCAGAAATTTTGTGCTTGAATACATGGGCAGGAGTTATCGCATGGTCTATTTGGATGATCGCATGGTGCGAAGTTGTGTACGTGGTTCGCACCTGTTGCAAACAAAAAGAACGATAATGTGACGATAATGTTAAATTTATATTTTAGATTTCATTGAAAAATAGTTTTACCGGAGTCTTTCTTGAGCTGAATCTTACGACAATGCATGGACCAAAGACGATGCTTCTTCTTCTTTTTCCTCGGCGGTGTGAAGTCTTTAAGACTTTCCACGGCTGGTATGTCACTGGCTTCTTTTTGTGCAAACTCATACACTTCTTTACAGCTTTTGGTCAACATTATCTGTGCCAGAGCACACGGGTTGCCTGGAAAAACTTTGTGTAGTGCACGAAACAGACTTTGCTCCGAACCTGTCCATGACGGTTCACTTTCAGTCTTAATTTTCGTTCCCAGTAATGAAAACGGTGTTTGATGATCCCGTTGTAGCTGTTCTTGCAGCGAATCTTCGTCAGGCTTTGAATCTTTGTTCACGTTTTGTTTGAAGTCTGATATTTGGTTTTGTTGTTATTAGTTACATAAAAATAGATTTTAGTAAGATTAAAAGAATTTTTAGGTTAAATTTACCTTGGCAACTACCACCTTGACTGTATTTATTACTATCGTTGCTATCCTCGCTACTCGCCTCGTTACCTGAATCAACACTTGTTTGTTTACGTACTTTTCTCGGCCCGCCTCGTTTTTCTTCGTCATCCTCTTTGTCAGCTGCTTGCGCTGCAAGTTTTTCTTTTATACCTTCCTGTAAAATTTAAAAGAACAATTAAACACTGAATTAATGGATTCAGTTGAAGATTAACTTACCAAATGCATGTAGCACTCAGTACCACAAGGCTCTGCAAAAGGTTTGAGATCTGGACCTTTGCGCTTCTGTAGATTTGGTCCTGGATGACAAACTTGTAAACCTGTGAAATAAGAGAAAGAATTTTTAAGATTACAAGAATATGAAGAGTTTTTTAATCTAAGGTCCACGATAGTCAGAAAGGAGACACATCGATGAACAATGAATGAATGATTGCGAAGATGAGTCCTGGTCAAGTTTTTTTTTATTTCTTGGTGCTAAACACATAGAAAGCTTTTGATTCAATATTTATATTGTTACCTTGAGGAAAAGCTCCCCTGCTGTCTTCAGTACATAAGGAATCAAAATAACAATTACGTTAATAAACTGCTTATAAGTAACGTAATAATTTTTGTTTTAGAAAAACGAAAATTTTTTTAATTTGTAACATTTTAATTAAAAAAGTTTAATTGTAGTAATCATATACTACATTCAGAAAAGGTGAAACTTACGATGAAGAAAACAGTCATATTTGAAACATCTTCTGCAAAATAATGTGTGGAATGAATGCATAGTTTGCTCTCTAGGAACGCTTTTTGCATTAGGTCCATCAATGTTTGGTGTACATTCAGGTGGCAGAGCATTGGGATCTGATCTCTCTGTAAGTTCAATGTACTTCTCTTTCAATTCTTCTGGCCTTCCTTTATCAGGAAACATATTTGATATTGCCTAAAATGTAAAATTTTAATACAGAAATATTTTATTTACATGTAAAAATAGTACCGAAACAGATAATATTTACATTGAAAATTTGCATAGAAGGAAATGGAGTTCCATCTTCTTCTCCTTTATTATCAGTCTTTTTATCCTCATCCTCATCTTTATCTTTATTTTTATCCTTATCTTTATCTTTGTCTTTCAAATCTCTCCCTTTCTTTGGAGTCTCTTTCTCCTTGTCTTCTTTCTCATATGCAGCCAAGGCATGTACAAGATCAACAAATAAGGTATCATCCATAAAACCAGATTCTCTATCACCATGCACTTTGCCATCATAGTTCTTGATCAATTCTTCAATAAACGTGCCATCTTGATCAAGAATCTCATCACCCATGTATGGAATATTGTGGAGAACAGTCTCATCCTCTACCATAAAGTTCTGTTGAATGGGTGCCCATGTATACATTGTTGGAATTGGAGATACTGCACTGATTATCTTTACAGGACACGTTTGAACATCTCCATCAGAACTTGTTACTTCAGCCTTTTTCATACAGGATGCATGGGCTGGAATATCTTGCATTGCTAACCACATGACTTTGTTATCGGTAGCCCATTTCTTATGCTCAGCTTCTAAAAGATCTATTGAATTAAACATTATCACGATACGAAAAGAAGTATTACTTCTTATATAAATTTGAATTAATTCATCAAGCTTTTAAACAAGGAACTTGTTGATTCTACTATTTAAGTGTTTCATGATGTGAGAAAACTACTTTTGAATAACGTAATTTTTTTCCTAACAATATGTACTTCATCAATAATAACTATACTTGACAATAATACAAAAACGATAAATTTTTAAGGGAATAAACGTACCTGACATAACCTTACGATTCTGATTCCATGCAATCTTTACTTCGTCTGCGCGCTTATAACGTTTTATTTGCCTTAGCCTCATGTATTCGGATTTCACGCGTTTTCGCCATTCTGCTGTGATTTTTGCCTTCGCCATTGTTTAATCTTCACAAACAATAATAATAAACATTAAAATACCTCAATAAAAATTCACCTCCGCTACATGAATCAACAACTGAGTAAGGGACGCGTGAAAATTATTGAAACTTGACGCTTATGCTATCTTCCGCCCTCCACAGTAGGTACAGTCAAGGAATAAAAATACATTCGTTGGTACAGTACACTACAGAATGATATGATCGCATAGATGAATTGATATTTACTACTTTACCGGCGAAATGACCTCTGGGTGTTGACTGTTGGTTTGAGATATATCATATCATTGAAGTTCATAAGTAGCGGCGCCACTTGTCAATACGATTTTGTTTTATAATCATGTCATCACTCGACGCTCATCGTGTGTGCATTGTTGCATTGATTAGCAGTTTGCATTGTTCGCAATAGGATTATGTCCGTCGTTTAGGGCTATACTATTCTATGGAGGCTGTGTTGCGGAAAAATTAAAAACCAATACTTAGAAGAAAGAAATAAATGTAACTTTTTGGATCGTTTAGATTGTCTTATGGAAAAAGGAGTTTATTTATACCCTCTATCGATTACCGTTTAAAAAAAAATGGGTAGCGGGATGATTTTTAAAATTATTGAAGGAAATGTTCAAAATCGCATTTACTGTACGGCGTTCATTAATTAAATCGAGTTTGTAAATTTTTCTAATTAATATTAAGATTTAGAAATTGATAAGCATATACTTGGAATGATAACAAACAATGTAGTATTGAAAATATATGAATTTTCGAAATTTCATAACAGACTTTTGTTGATAGTAGTTACGTATTTCGTAACTTTTTGGTTTATAATTTTTTTTGCTTAAACAACATTTATTATCGAATTTCAGAAAAACCTATGAAAAGATAAACACTATAAGGAATACCTCCAAGTTTTTTCACTTCAATCTATCGATAACTTTCAGAATACGACTGAGTTGAATTCAAATATCCAATTTGTGATTGTGCGGAGCTAAAATTGTAAACCGTTAGGCAAGAGAACGTCCGTAAATGATTTATTTCAAGAAATAAATACATGAATTTTTGGTTTCCGATTATAAATAACAGTAATTTTCCAATTTATAAATTTAGTATTTTCATCACTGAATATTATCTGAAGACATCGGTTAAATTTGATGTAGTTATTAAAAATTTTTTTAATTATTTTTTCTTCATTATGTTTTTGTAATTTTTTGTACTGGAAAAATTCAGTCTAAAATAAAAAAAAAACAATGATATTAGTTATCTTCAGTAACAGAGTTCATCGGCAATATGTTGATCCACGAGCATTGGAATAAATTGCGAAAATCGGTTAAAGTAGAAATAATCTATTTCGACACTCCGTACGGAAAGTGCGTTTTTTCCGCAAGCTCAGCAAAAAACGTGCGTTGCAAATCGCACTTTCCACACGTCGTATCAAAAAATACGGTTCAGCACATGTTCGGGAAAGAGTTTCTCGTCTCGCTTCGCTCGGGCGAAAAACGCCACACGAGACAAGAATCTATTTTCCCGCACTTGTATCGTAATGTACTATTTCCACGCGTCGTCTTGAAAAATATGGTACGGAACATGTTCGGGAAAGAGTTTCTCGTCTCATGTACCTTTCCACCCTCGCTTCGCTCGGGCGTAAACGCCACACGAGACAAGAATCTATTTTCCCGCACTTGCATCGTAATGTACTATACCCTCGTCTCGGTCAGTCAAGTGAAAAATGTCCAACTTGAGTCAGCTGCGAGGTTATTTTCAAAATTACCGTAATCTCATTGAGCTTTGCACGCGAAGCATTTTACGACTTGACGTGTATGTATTAGAAATCAAAATATACAAGCTGTTTTTTTTTCGATGATTACTACACATGTAATTGAAGGTTAACAACACGTATAACAGCTGTCAAACTTTAATTTTCTATTGAATGTAATATATATGTTACATAACTCATGAAAAAATGCATATGTAGACAGTTTATATCGTATTGTTGCAAATATTTGATTTAAGATAAGGCAGAAATTCGAGTGAAAAGAAAGGCAGATTTTTTTATTTGGCAATTATTCCGACTTAATTTTGGCAAAAGATTACTTTAATGCGCGAAGTTACTGTTATGTAACAGCCTGCAATTAAGTCAGACAGATGATATAAGGCGCGCGTTGTAAGTACATAATAAACGTGAAGTTTTTAGTTGTTATTATGTTTTTTTTTATTAATAACTATGATAGCAGAGCATCTTGTACTTGAAGAATTATCATTTCTGAAAAGCAAAGAATCGAACGATTGTTTTGCATAAGCGTGTTTTGATAATTTCATGTGATAATTATAGCGCATCTGTAATACATTTGAGCATAAAACGCAGGTTTGATTACGTAAGCGTCTAAGACTCAAAATTAATATTTTGCGCTTTTTCCTTCAAGCAAATTACGGTTTCCTTGATTACTTTTTAGATAGCTGCTTTTACTGCCTGGACAAATAATATATCGTTTTTACTAAAAATACTTTTACATGAATTTATTTAAAATTCTGTAGAAAAATAAAACCACTTTTGGTCGTATCTAAAAAACTTACATTTTTAACAAATTGTAGCAACATCAACATTAACTGGAGCAGTGTTTGCCGAAACGTTGATCAAGGGCGAGATGAAAAAAAAAAATACTACGTGAAATCATTTTGATTGTTCTAGATCACAGCTGAAATCAATACATATTGTATTGAAATAATGAAACCGATTTTACAGTAAAGTACGCGTGTTCTCCTATCATTCGATACGTTATCCGCAAATTAACATAACTAACTAAAGCCACTAATAACAACTGGAGTACATTTAAAATAATGTGATCAATTACTATGTACAGTCATTTATTTTGTTTGTCCAGAAATTAATCAACAGTGGAATTCACTACAATATGTTAAGCTACTTGTTACATGCAGTCGGACTTATAAAACAAATAAAATGCAAGGATTTGCGTAAAAGAGAGAGAGAGAGAGAGAGAGAGAGAGAGAGAGAGAGAGAGAGAGAGAGAGAGAGAGAGAGACAATATCTACCATAATAGTACGTTTATGGTAAATTTCGAATAAATTTAATACGTCGTAGGAAAATTCAAAGGGGCTGCTAGTGTAGATCAGTCAAAATTATAAGTTTTCCTTAGTGTGGTGTAAAAAACATTATATTACAGTTATCACCATAAACATTTATCATCTTGAAGTACTCGGTAAATGCTTCTTCTTTTTATGATCCCAAATCTCATTTAGATTCCCTAGAATATCACCTTCACCGTAACACCTTATTTTTAGAAAAAGAGCGGTTTATAACGCTTTTCTGAACATTAGAGTGGACGAAAATAATTTTTCAAGGACTCATTTTCTTCTTTTAAATTAGTACTCCAGATTAAGTGAAGAATTTTTCGAAATATCCAATTTCATCATTTTTGTAAGAACTTTTATAAATTTCTTTAAAAATTTTTTTTTGAATAAATTTGTAAAAATGTTCATAAAAATGGTAAAATTGACTATTTCAAAAAATTCCTCTCTTAATTTGGAGTAATTATCTAAAGAAAGAAACTAAACCCTTAAAAAATAATTTTTGTTCACTTTAAAGTTAAGAAAAGTGTGGTAAAGCGATTTTTTTTAATAAGGTGTTGTGGTTAAAAAGACTTTTTAGGGCTCTTATGTGAGATTTTGGAATTTAATAAGAAAATTAAAGCATTTACCAAGTACGATAATGAACAAATGTTCATAATGATAACTTTAATCGACTTTTTTACATCACAGTAAAGTAAATTCATGATTTTCACTGTTTAACACCAGCTGGATTCCATAATAGGTAGATACCAAACAGGTATCCGTGCAAGGATATAATTGAAAAAAATAGTTACATCAACGGATCTTCTTGATAATACATATTCTTATCTCCAATCGTTTTCAAAATAATTTATGTTTAATGTAATATGTACAATTTTGTAGTTATGTGATTGGTTATTGAACTATTTGCAATATAATTTATTTAAAACATAACTTTCAAACGATTATGGTAATAATAATAATGCTCTTTTCTTTCAGATTTCACTAGACCAAAATAGAAGTGTCCTAGCTAATGGTTTTCAAACGTTGGATCAACTACGCTTTTAATCCTAATTTCTCTTTTTCCTTCGTTCATTGCACTTGCACGTGCACTTTGTATCACAGTGTGTCATAATCGCGCGATATATCAGTTAGCAAATATCGCGACAAACGGGCCATTGATTTTCCGGAAGAGTGAATTCAACATTTTCGCAATCCTGGAGTCGTTTTTTAATTAATTTGCGAAATTTGAAAAGTATGTCACATAACACTACTGTTAATTCAACATGTGGCGAAAGTAAGAAAAACAACTGTATCTAACATACATGTCGTGGATAAATAATTATCTTTATTCTCTCATTCAGTCATTAGCATAATATTAATGATATTTGTTTTTCACAAAGTGATTTTTGTGGAACAGAAAAAATTATGAATTTTTCCATCTACGTTGTTTTATTTGATGCCAACAGCACGTTTTAGATTTATTAGCTCATCTTAGAAGTGAATATGGATTAATTTAGATTCAATTATTATGATATTGATCGGTATTTGATTGAAAAATTTGCGTTTCGTAAGATCATCACTATTGGACGTGATATACGAAATGTAGGATGTTATGAGCACTTAATTGTGCAAAGAGAAATGTGATTATATATTGACTTTTAAGGAGCTTATTTCTTGTTCGAATGTTTGCAAAAATAAGTATTTTTCAAATGATTAAACATTGAGTTTAATTTACTACTGAGAAAATAAGGATAACCGGTTGTACTATTATTTCATCTATTGATAATTATTCAACAATGCGCATAATTTTTTATTGTTAATAACAATATATTTATTCGCATAGTCATCTTTGCCTTGTGAGGTTTCGTAACTATGATGATTAATCCGTTTTTAAGGCGAGGATATATGAAATTTGACTTTGAAATTTGAACGAAGACTCAAAAATTAATCATAAATTACTTTTCAGTTTCTCGTGAATGTGACGTAAACAAATCAATACAAGATTAGTAAAATTTCACATAATGAAACCCAAATATAGCTGTTAATGTGCTCTCATTATTAACAATCAATGTATGAAATATTT